CTTCAGGAGCAAAGGGCGACGCAATAGAAAACTAACTATTTATAGCAGTGACCGATAAATCATCGGTCCTGTTTATCAAATCAGACGGCAACCCACAATCACCCTTTCAGGCTTCTTGAGCGCAACTCTAAAAGGAAAAGTCTAAAAAGCCCACAACAGCAGCAGGAAGTTCCTTTGTTGGATTTCCGCTGTCCTGTCTAACTAAGTTGATGCCAGTGTACAAAGGAGATAGGCTTATGTGATTCATACGCCAGTTTGTCTGTACGCAATTAACCTGGGGGCGAATACACCAAACTGGTCTGGGTATTTGCGCTTTTGCAGGCACGGCAAGCCGCAACAATCTACCTACCACTTCGGCTAATCAATTCAAAATACCGAAAAATGAAAAGTTCTCAGTGACATTTCAAGGACGACATGAAAATCAGCCGACGCCACATCGAAAAGAACCACTGTACGTTTTATGGAAGGAATCTTAACTTGACACACAGAAAAGTGTATGCTTGCGTTGGCATCTGCTATTTATCTTGAATTCTCTTGGTCATTAACCACCGTCTGGATACTTGCCCTTACAAACTACTGTTTTCTGACATTAAAACTCGCGAATTCAGAAAAGAAATCATTTGCCTTATTCCAAATCATCGTCAGTAATGCACAAACCAGAACATTTCATCGAATTCTCTTGTCAACAGTTTGAAGCACAATCGAAGATCAAACAGCTGACTGAATACCATACTGAATATTTCGCAATTTCTAGAAACATATTTATCCTTAGGATCATCTAAAAGGGACCTGAAGCCTAGCTTCGCATATACTCATTTTATTTAGTTGTTTGAATGAACCTGTACGTTTTATTAATAAAGTTAAGTATACTCATTTTACTCGAATTTCTGAATCTTCGCATTTTAAAACGGTTGCTATATCTAGCCAAGCAAAATGATTTTTTCACTATTACATTCATAGCTATATAGAGCCGAAGGACCTCATTCCATTGACTGATACAGTTGGGATAGCTTCTGCCTGACTAGACTATTTTCATAAATTCACGCAGATTTTTGTGAATATGGTCACCTACTGTCGTATTGTTGGACTTGCCGACATGGATATTACGCACTTTCACTCGAAGAAGGCGGTGTTCAAGTAGAGCGTATGCAGACAAATTGCCGTTTGATGACAGCCCCCTCCCAAACTCTTTTATTAATTTGCAATATACTTAGACATTTTTAATAGCCTACTGCTTGCAAGAGCTGGAAATGTGTTTGAAGGGACATTTAAGAGCGAGAGGTCTGCTCAATACCTTTCGTTTCTGAATAACACAATCATCCCTGGTAGGGGATAAGACGGAATTGGCCGTTTTAGTGTACAATAACGATTTCTCTACTGCTTAGATTATTTAAGTTTCGGTTCAACGCCTCACCATGAGCACTAACCACAAATGAGGGGATTAACGAATCCTAGAGTAGATGAGTCACCGCGTGGGAAAAGCCGTAAGCTGAAAAACAAGTAGCATAAATATTTCATTTACTTGGCTGCTAATCAGCCGCAGTTTGTCAAACTCAAATCGGGTTGTCCCGTTAAACAAACGTATCTTGTAAAGTATATCGTCGGAGAACTGACCTTGGTTTAGTTGTTTCCGTAATTCTTCAATCTCCTTTTGAAATTGGCGAAGAAGTGCATCCTTGGGGTCTTCATTAACTCGGGCCTTATTCTTTATAGACTTGGCACGATGTGCATAGCGTAGGGTACTGACCGACTCTTCATAATTGTAATTCGTTGGGCCAATGTTTGCAATCTTACGTTGTGGAAAAGGACAATTAGAAGGATACCATAGAGCGTTCATAGAATTTTGCAAAAAATGTAAACCATGTTGCAAAATGCGTTAGATTTATATGGACTTTTAAAACCAACATAACATTTTCTATTACAGGGGTATCCATTTTTTCCGAATGTGGTTGTTTCAGGCAGCCGGAAAGAAGTCAACATCCTGTCGTCGCTGCAATCTCGTGAGTTAATGCTTCACAAAAATAGCTATTACAAACCCACCTAGATAATTCTATTTAATCTAAAAAACAATTTGGACTTTCTATTAAAATTTCACGGGCAGCTCATCGTAGGTTTCGCTGACCCCAAACATTTACTAAAAAAAGTTAAGGAATAAACCATGATTAAATTATGGGGAACGAGATGTCAATGAACGACAACAGTTTGTTCTGAAGCTCTTGGGTAGGGAAACTGTAGTACGATAGCTTTTATCCTCGCTTTTGATACCGTAATTGACAAAAGGATGGGATGAGAAAACGCCACGAAGTGGCCAGCAACTGTCATTCATTGTTCAGGAAAATATTCGTGAAAACGCACAGCTTTTCAGGAAAAAATTAATACCTGAGGGTTTTTATGCACATACTGTTTCTGGGATCTGGTATGAAGGAACAACTGCAAACTTTGGCCAGCGTGTGGGATTATCCAACTGATTTCTAAATTCCTTGTTACGAGGAACGTACGTTGTAGCATCATGAAAACACTTCGAAGTTAACACAGAAATGGGCGGAAGTAAGAGACACCTATTATGTTTTGAGCAATGTGCAACTCCCAGCCTTACTTCAAAAATTTTTAAAGCAAAGTCGGTCTCTGACCATAAAGAGAGCGGGGGCTTTTATTTACATGTATTAGATTCTTCTGCTGATATCCAGCGATTTTCGGCAAATAAGATCAGTATGTCTGACTTTTTTTTCATGGATTTGTTTTAGGTGCTCTTGATGCCGATCGTGTAGCGCTGAAAAGTGTTCTACAAAACTGTTATGTTGTTCTCCAGTTTGCATAAACTATATGAATGATTTTAAGCTAACGAATATATTTGGGAATTTACCTATTGAGCAAAATGACTGATGAAGAAATTGACGCAAGTACAAAACCTATAGAAGACGAAATTCCCTACCGAAAACAACATAATCGAGGATATTTTCTATAACTTATACTTAAATCTGTAAGTAAATGGGAGGTGAATGAGGAAGATAGGTGTTACATAGGAAGTCATTTTGTGGAGTATAATCTTTGCATGTGGTCATTGAGAAACGCAATCAAATGCCGGCATCCTGAAATGAATGAAATATGCTGAGATTATGCTGCCCGTTACTCACTTACATGAGTAGTATTTTGCACTGGAAAATGCACTTCATAACTTCGGTTAGCATTGTATGAGCTGTGAAATCTACTGTATAAAAGGGCAGCTTTTATATTCCATCTCACAATCAGGCTACGTCGATTAATCTCACTATCACAGGCAGTCCTTCATAATCTGACCTACATGCTCATTTTGTAAGCCAGCA